ATTACTGAGTGTCTCTGGCTACCTGAGCTCAGAAGACAGCGTCAGTCAATGCACGTTGCCCCTTGGTGATGTGTTTGACTCCTCACCAGGCAGCAGATGTGAACTCTGCCACAGAAGTGGTGCCAAATCTGTCAAAAGAAGCATCACCACCACCATTCCCATTTCATTAAGAATGATTTTTCCAGATTGGGTTGTAGTTGAAGATTTCATATGGGAAAAAAAAGTTTCTATTGCTTTAAAAGGTACTTGGAAACTCCTGTTTTGAGTGAGTTGGAATCAGGAGGGCTTGTTTTCCTGTCGTAAGCACAGGAAACTAAGCCAGCAGGGCTCTGAGAGCCAGTACAGCTGGAGGTGATTATCCACCATCTGAAATCAACAGAGATGAGAGAGGGAAAAGCTGAAGAAAGAGCCTTTTTCTGGAAAGAATATAGCTAGGATATGGAAACTAGAAGGAAAATGTGGGTTTTGGCTTTCAACCACTGGAAACCATTATGGCAAACGCGTCACCACCCTCATCTGAGATCTGGCTCCACTACCGTGCAATGGGACAAGACATCTGCTGGTTAAAAAGCATAGTGAGGCTGTGGAATGATGGTGGCCCATGAGGCACTCAAATAGCAGATGAACCAATCAATACAACTGGGCTGGACCCACGTCTATGAAATATACACCCGAACATATAACTGCTCAAACATAACAGAGGCTTATTTCTAGTTTATCTAACTGTTCCAGGCAGGTGAACAGCTCAGCAGGGCAGCTCTTCTCCCTCCAATTTTCAGGAACCCATGCCAATGGAGGTTCTGTAATCAACACATAGCTTCCAAGGTCATCCTGCGAATCATCTCTATTCCCCTAGCCAAAAAGGAAGAAGAACATGGAGGGCCACCTGTGTGTGCGGGGGGTGACAGGTGGTAGGGGATGGGGAGGAGTGGTTATGAGCTGGGAAAGCCTGAAAGCAAAGCACATGATGGCCACTCATTCCATCAGCAAGAACTGTTTAAATGGTGCCCCTAAGTATGAGGAAGCTGGGAAATGAGTTGGCGAGCAGCTATTTTCCCATGACAGACAACTCCGTGCTATAGAAGGGGAAGCACAAATGGTGATGGAATCTATAAAACTGAACTAAAGTTGTATATTCTAAAATAATAGAACCTTAGTACAGTCCTGAGCAATGCAGTAATTAAAACATTTTGTCCCCAAATCAACCTTTGGTAGATATTGTTAGTACAATTATTTCTGGATTATGATTAAATAAATAAATAAATAGATAAATAAATAAATAAATGGCTGTTGGGAAAAGATGGTATTCACATCTGTGGTTCCAGATAGCCTGCTAGATCTCTTGATTTAAAATGACTAGTTATCTAAATGCAATGTGATGACTCCAAGGGATTAAAAAAGCAGCTCACTGAAGCTATCCTCTGGTCATAGATATTTTGACAGAAAATGTGTGCCCATTTTACATAATTCAGAAAAATTCAAGGTACCTTGTTATGGTGGAAATGAATGTAACAAATTGTGCATTGATCTGCATATTTTTAAGCTAATTTAAATTTCGATATATCAATTTGGAATTGTGTTTGATTTCCGGTAACCAAAAAACAACCATATGGGGCTCACACAAAT